CAGTCTCGGTCTGAGTAATTGTTCAAAGAGTTTACCAGTAGTGTCAAGTAAACTCAACGGTCGGTAGGCCGAAGGAGTGCCAGGGTCGCCCTTACCTTTTGGAATAAGAACGGGCCTCGCCTCCTTCCACCGATCGCTGAACGTTCCTGTCGTCAAGCACGTATTGTACAGGTCGAGAAGTATCTCCGGCCGTAGACGAGTCACGAGCCGGAGGATCTCGGATGGTACTCCGTCCGGTCCCGGTGCCTTACCCGTCTTCATCGCATTCGTTGCTCTGATGAGCTCCTCAGCGGCAAAAGCGGGGGGCATTTATGCGTCCACGTCATCCATCACGTTTGTCCTAATCGGGTGCGTCGGAAACAATCCGTCAACAATCCGTCCTGCTGTTTCGGCATTTTTAATTTCCGGTCAGACTCGGGCCCCTAGTTTCCCGGTCACAATCTTGTAGCCGGTTCCCCAGGGATCCTCGTTCACCTCCTCGCAGAGCTTCCTCCAGCATCGCGTCTTGCTGTCCCGTATTGCTTTCGTCAGCGTCTTCCGTGCTGTTTTGTATATGGCTTGGAGGTTTTCCCTTTCGGGTCCGCCCCCTGCCCTTGTCATTCGTCGCCGATTTGCCAGGCATATCTTGCGTAGCTCGGCTATTTCGTCCGTCCACCAGTATTATGGCCGTCTTTTTTGTATCTGTCGTCGTTTCGTCATTGTGCTGGTGCACAAGCTGTTTATTAATTTCGCCGTCTCGTGTGTCAGTCTTTCCGTTCTTCGCCGACCCGTTAGCTCAGGAGGAATCTTCGACCCCGGGGCTGATGCCGCCATCAACTCCTCCGAAAATTTTTGTCGGTCAAGTTTGTTAAGGTTCCACCGCGGGGGTTGATGGATTCTCGTTTGTCTCGTTTCTGTCCGTCCCGCCACTTCGAAGACGATGTATTGATGGTCGCTGGCTGTATAGTCCTCGACCACCCGCCACCCCCTCAGCCGTGGCAGGATTCTGTCTGACGTCATCGTCACGTCAGGGATGGAGTCTCCAATCCCTGGTCGTCTATACGTCGGCGTGTGTCCCGTATTTACTACTGCTAGGTCCAACCTTGCGGCCATTTCCAGCAGCAGTCGTCCACGTCGGTTCGTTTCGTTCATTCCCCACTCGATCGCCCTCGCATTGAGATCCCCCGCAACGATGACATCTCCGGGCAGGTCCCTGATCCCGTCCTCTAACAGCGTCGCCTTCCTTTCGAACTCCATCGCGGTGCAGTTGGGTGTCAGGTAGACGCTGACATAAGTGACAGCGCCGACTGTAGCCCAGACGTAGTCGTCCCCGACTCCGCGGTTGGAGACTCTAAATTGAGCGGCGCCCCTTACCCAGATAGCAGTGGTCTCTGTCTTGTTTGTAATGTATGTCTGGGACATCCTTTTCCTGTATGGTTCACACAGGATCAGAATATCCGCGTCATGTTCGTCGGCTATCTACGGTAGGAGCATGTCTGCAGTCCTACTTCTGTTCAGGTTTCCTTGTACTACTCTGTCCGTCTTCCGGCACGCCTTCTGCACTCCTCCAGCGCGGCCCGGAACACGGCACACCTGCCGTTTCCGGCGAGGTGGGCGACGTCCCCATGCCCGGCCTCGGAGCACAGTGGGCAGACCGGTTCTCCTTTGCATTCCGTCGCGTAATGTCCGGATGCGCCGCATTTGCGGCAGCATTTCGTCCTGTCCTTGCCCATATATTCGGCCTTCACGTGGCTGAAGTCCAGGCACCTGTAACATTTCGTCACCGTCAGTCTTTTTCGGACGCGGCAGTGCACCCAGCCAATTCCGATCCGACCGCGCCGGAGCAGCGCCTCGGCTTCCCACGATTCCATTTCGCAGACCGCCATATACTGCTCGGGGGTATTATTATTATTATTATTATTATTATTATTATTATTATTATTATTATTATTATTATTATTATTATTATTATGAACCTCACCTTTGTCCCGGTGGGATAGACGGGGGGGGGGGGGGGGGGGAGTTGACCGCATCCCACAAATAATACCTTACCTGAACGTAGAATTTCCCGCTCTTTCCGAATTCACCATAAAAAATGGAGGTTCTTATTAAAAAAATCACTTGGTTATTTGGTTATTCGGGTTATTGAGGATGGTTTATTGGGTTATTGGGTTATTTGAGTTTTTGGGTTATTAATATTAATCTTACCCTTGCCCGCTCATCCTTGTGCATAGATGATGAAAATAATAAATTTGACCCCTACATGACCTTACGCGGGAGGGAGGATAACCGAACCCCACACATAATACCTTATCTAAACCTAGAATTTCTCGCTCTTTCTGAATCCGGGATCAAAATTATAGGTTCCTATTCAAAAAATGACTTTGACCTTTCAATGACCTTGAAAATAAATCTCAAGGTCAAATGCGATTTCTGAGAAAGGTGTCCCTCATTGTCCCAAACACTTTTATCTGAACAATTTTTTTGTACAATGCAAACCGCAGAAAATTTCGGGGTGGTTCCTTTAAAATGGGTCACCCTGTATACATACACATATATTTGTGTATATCATACGTATGAAGATCGTTTAATAAGTTCGTGACTGCTTGAAAGATGGAGGTGTTATTGTAACGTATTTTACACTGTAAAATAGTTCCATCCAGTATAAGTGCACATACAAAGTTTCAAGTCAGTACGTTGATTTGGAAATGTTTTACTGTCATTTGACTTCAGTTTTTCATTGTGTACACAAAATCATGAAAAAAATGAGTTTCGTGTACTTAGTATCAATCAATATCAATCAAAGAAACTAGAGAAAAGCTGAGAAAATATTATGGAGACTCTGCTCTTGTGTATGGTATGGTTTAAAAGTGGTTTACTGAAGTTTATTGTTTTTTAATATTGGTATTAACAGGAAGCATTTTAGACCGGCTACGATCCTCCCGACATTGAACAGCTGGAGTATTTTCTTTGTTAGTGATAATTGTTCGACTATTTGTCGAATATTTGTCCAACTGAATGAAAGGCAAGATAACTATAGTGCAAAAAGTGGTCGCTATTGACTAGATGATATTTACCCACCATCAATGAAATGCCTCTGCTAGCCCCGTTGTCCACGCAAAAGCGTTCGACAAATGCTCGACTCAATTTTAATATTGTAAGCGATTATGCGGGGATATAATTTATAAATATTGTCTCGTATGCTTCTCTCTCTCCTTTTAAACCTTCCTCTCTGCCTCTTTCTCTCTTTTTCTTTCTATCTTCTTGTCTCTCTAGCACTAAGCTATTTAGTACTATTATAATTTAGATTAGTATGAGTGTATATCTTTTGGCATTTGACTATTATTTTTTTTTTCTATTGCACGATTGCCGAAACGCATACATATTTATATGGTTGTGTATTTATATTACGGTGTAGAGCTATACACCGCTCTCTCTTTCTCTCTCTCTCTTTCTTACTATACAGCTCTACTTTTGCGTTTTTGCAAGCTACAAAGGCTACGTAAGAACTGTGCTATCGGACATTACTTTTTTTCGCTTACACAGAACAGCATAAGATTTGTGACGAGAGCAAGCGTTGCGCTTATTCTCGTCGACATTTTCCCCAATTTCCCCTCTCTCTCGGTAAAGCATGGTGACCAGCGTTAGGCGCATTTAAGAATGCGCCTAATGCATGGTCATTGTTTCAGCCGACGGAGATTGCCGAGCGAGGCCGAGCCGACCCGAAGCTATTACGCTGACGACAGATTATAGAGATGTTAGAAAGAAAGAAAGAGAGAGAGAGTTAGGGGCGTGCGTGCCCCACGCAAGATCAGGTAGGCGCGCGTCGCGTACCAATTAGCGCATTGGTCGCACGCCGCCTAATAAGTAGGTCAAGTGGGGAGAGAAAGAACGAGGAATAAGCTGTCGATCGCGGAAGAATAACGAGCGATACAGACGGTAGTGAGTTGAGCAGTCAGTCAGTCAGAAGGTTTCCAGTCGATCAGCTATTAAGACGGTTTAGACGGTCAGCTGCAGAGTCGAAAGTGTAGTTGAGAACAAAGGGTCAGTCGAACGCACACCCCACCAAGGAGCCGAGGAGGACCGAGAGGAAGAGGATGAGTGCCTTGTTCCAACATCTGCTCGGGACGCTACTCGGAGAAGCCGGCAGGAGTTGCCCAGCGATGGCCAGCAACATCGTCCGCAGGGCGTGGCCAGGCCTCCCGTTCCTACATTGAAGGTCAAGGCTCGCAATCTAATTTCTTTCTCTCTCTCTCTCTCTCTCTCTCTCTCTCTCTCTCTCTTCAACGGTATGGTACAGCGCGTAATTGTAAAAGTCAGGTAGGTAGCAAGGCGTGCATACGCCGGCTACCTGCCCTAATTAAGGTCGGCGACATAAATTGTTCGGATAGAGAATCGTCCAGTCAATCCGTCGCCGGGCGGCTTTCTCTTTTAGTTTAAGTAGGCTAAGTCGGTTCGTCGTCATGGCGGTTATCTGCCGGGCAACGCGTGCTGTATATCATTTAGATTTGTAAGCGTTAGTTAATTTGTTCTTTGTTCTCTGTTGTGATAGGTGTTAAGAACACCGTTGTGTTCTATAGTGTTAAGACGTGTTCACAACACCGTTGTGTTCATTAGGTTAAAATTTGTAAAGCTGGTTATAAGTAGAATAATGCCGTTTGTTCTTTTTGCGGTTGTTCATGTATGGTTTTGAAGTTTAAGTGTAATTTTGACTTTGATTTGATTAGAATTAGATTTGATTTAATTGCGAATTTTGTTGTGTCTTTAATTCCTTAATCACTTTCATTTCTTTACCTTTCCCCCCCTTCTCGTCTCGATAGCTATGAGCGAGTGCGCCTCACTTGCCTACCTTAAAAATTGATAACGAACGAGCTTCCGTTACATATTTTCTATCATTCTTCTTATATACAAGAAATTTGCAGTGATAAAACTCCATTATAATGGTTGCGTAATAAGTTTCATAGCAATACTGAAATTTTTATTAATTTTTAATTACTGATGTACATGTTAAAATGTTTCAGAGCTATACCTTTGGATTACAAGATGGCTTCAATGGAGATACTTTATGTGGCTTGTTGAAGAGTGGTCTAGCACAATTTTTAGCACTCGAAATAACGAAAGGAAATCATCGTGAAAATCGTGCAATAGTCCGATATTTACCATGGCTGTTTTCACCTCCATCAACTGTTATTCAAGGGTATGGTCATTAAACATTTTTTAAATTTAAATAAATTATGGAACTATTATTAAAATTGGTTACCTAAAATAGTTTTGATTGCAAAACTAGAAATCCCAAACGATATTGTTGTTTTATCTATTTTCAATAAATTTGAATTTCATAGAGTTAACTCTCAAAGTCAAAGTTTGTGACCGATCGACCGGTTAATCGATTGATTGGTTGATCAGTTTATTAGTCACTGACCAGTAGGTAATCTAGAGAGGCCACGTATCAGGAGACCTCAGATCAGTGATCTGAAGTGCATGAGCTACCACATCATCCACTCTTACATCACACGCGAAATCTTCTCCTGCACACCCCTATCTAAAATGTATTTTAAATATACATTAAAATGTAATTATGAGTAATTTAAATAAATTCAATTTATTTATGTAATATAATTTATTTATATATGTGTATGCGGAGACGCCTTAGACGACTTTTTTCCAGAGACTTACTCGCCGTAGACGACGTCGTCTAAGGCGATCCTGACGTAAGAACGGTTTAGACGACTTTTACGCCTTAGACAACTTTCGATGAATACTCGTTATAGACGACATCATGAAAAATATTGAATAAAAAAAGTCAAATTCAGGGTCCTAGAAATAGTATAGGCATTTGTTTTTCGAAGATTCTGAGGTATATAATGAGAGTAACTGGTAATAAATGCTGATCGAGTTTCCAAACCTTTTAGAGACAAAGAATGCCATTGACGCCAATATACTACATGATAGTCTAGAAAATTGGCTACGAAGTTAGTTTTCACGAAATCTTTGTGAGAGGTAGATCTGCTGATCAACTTCATTATACCTGACACAGTTATACGAGGTATGATTCTACGTAATTTTGCTAAGAATATTGATCAAAACACTTAAACCTGGAGATGTCTAAACCGGATATATTCCGCGTATATCTTTTAATAGAATGTAATAGGTATCGAAAATTGTTAATTCTTGGTGTCGTCTAAGACGGATATAATCCGCGTCTATATTCGTATATAGCGGAATCGGGAAAGTTTGTGAAAGGAAGCAATTTACAAACGAAAACGATGATCAAGGCAGAATAGATATTTAGCTAACGTTTGGTGGCATTTGTTTTTCGAAGATTCTGAGGTATATGATGAGAGTTATTGGTGATGAAATGCTGACCGAGTGTGGAAACTTTGCAAATACAGAAAATGTAATTGACGTAAATATACTACATTAATTTGTAGACAAATATGTAGTTAATGTTCTCGGAATTTCTGTGAGAAGTAAATCTATGAAGCGACTCGATCATACGTGATTCGTTTAAATAGTACATGAGTTGATATGAAGTATCTACTGATACAGGTATATAACAAGATATGATTCCACTTTCGTTTACTAAGAAAGTTTGACGAAAATACTTATTTGCATAATTATCTAAACCGGTTACACTTGGCGTATATCTCTCAATAGAGAGTAATAAATGTCGAAAATTCTTAATCTCTGCATCGTCTAAGTCGGGAATAATCCGCGTATATGTTTTAATAGAGAGTAGTAGATATCGAAAATTCTTAATCTCAAAGTCTTCTGAACCGGTTTCAATCCTTGTAAATGTGAGAATACAGCGGAATGAGACAAGTTGGTGAAATCAGCCGTTCAGAAATGTAAACTAACCTAAAATCAGTAAAAAAATGTAAGAACTTTTAACTGGCATTGTTTTCGAGTATTTCATCGTGTATGATGAAATTATGAGATAGATGAGATAGATCAATGGATCGACTCAAGTTTACCTGATCCATATAAATATATATATTTATATCCATATATATATATATATATCCATATCCATATATACATATACATATATATATATATGCCTATTCAAACGATTGATGAGTGAACGTAAAAATTACTACTAATAAATTTATATTTATATGGCCAATAAACAATTTAGGTCGATTGACAAAGCTTGAAAAAGGTTCTTTTTCGATACGCATATGTTCAATGTTGATAATCATTTTCGATTGCGACTTCCACCGACTATTGGATTGTTGGCAGGATTAGATTAGATCCCCTAGAACATGCACAGCCGCGATTTGCATCTGGCCCAAAGGTAGCGATTACGTATAGAAATTTTATGAACACCTATCTAGAAATCGCGGATATGGAGCTTGTTCCAGAAAATAAGATCAAGAATCCATGAACGTGTTATTTATCAATCATCACATGCTTTCGGAATGCTAAATCCTAAGTTTTTTATTCATTCTAAGATAAGATAATCTGTTTTATCGAAACACCCTCTATAAATTAATTAACCTGAACTCCTGTGCATGTATTGAGTGTACATGTGTATATGTATGCAAAATGAGCTGGAGCCTGAGAAAATTTAGCATGGTGGCAGCACCGTGCGAAGCTCCCTTGCGATCCCTGCCGTTTCTAACAAACAACGTGCATGGTTTGCACTTTATCAATCATATTTATCGAATATAGTTTATCTCAATTAAACTTAATTATTTATCAGTGAATGTGTGTGTAAAAGAGTGAAATTTCAACGAAATTCCAGAGTGAGCACGTGTGTGCATGAGTGTGCGCGGCCATTGTTTCCGCGGCGTCAATCGTGTATTTTGTGCTTTGTATTAATTTCTAATCAATCATTTTTCATGTAAATGTATAATAATAAAAAGGGTTTTTCATGCCGTGATTGGCTTTTTCCCTTTAAACATAGTGTCATTTATTAACTTAATTTTCGATTCTTAATGAGAATTCAGTAAACTAAATCAACTTCAACTACAAATTAAAATCAACTTTAACAATCAAATAAAATTAAATTCAACAATAAAAATATAAATATAAATTAACAATCAATTAAAATTAGCTTGAACACAAATTTTAAGTTAACAGCAAACGTAACGATAAAATCTAAAATTCAAATGCAACAAAGCTCTTTGTGTCACCCACAAAGAAGTCGCAACATTTAATAATGCCTCCTGTGAGGTAAAAACTCTACCTCTTTGTTTTTTCTAAAATTCTCAAAGAAAGTGAGGTTGCAAGAGTACAGTGCGCGAAATATGCATGAATCGGACAAAGAAACAAAGGCCCGGTAATCTGTTGCAACGCGACATTCTTTGTTCTAACTTAAGCATTTTAATCTTGTTTAATTTACTAGTTCGTAATTACATTTTCACTTTAATATTTAAATTTCATCAATTAAATTTCGAGTTTATTTATTACTTTTCACCAATTAAATTTTGGGTTTATTTATTACAGATTTCGCGAATTACATTTTGATTTCGAGTTTGTTTGTTTTACAGTAATTATTTAGTAACATTTCAGTATGTTATACAGTAGAATAATTCTCAATGCCTTATAATCTATATTTTTTTACATCTTTTACAATTTAAAAATCTACAATTTTGTGACGAGAGCAAGCGTTGCGCTTGTTGTAAAAACGCGCGACACAGATGGTAGTTAGTCGAGAGCAGAGTAAAAAGGTTTCCAGACGACGGTAGACGGTCAGCGGTGCGAAGTCAAAGGGCAGCTGAGGACAAAGCGGCCAGCCGAAAGCACGCACCGCTAAGGGCCGAGGAGAGCCGAGAGGACAGAGGACGACTACCTTGTTCCGGCATCTGCTGGGGACGCTACTTGGAGGAGCCGGCAGTAGTTGCCCAGCGACGACCAGCAACACCGTACGCAGGGCGCAGCCAGGCCTCCCGCTCCAGCATCAAAAGTCAAGACACGCAAGTTAATCTCTCTCTCTCTCTCTCTCTCTCTCTCTCTCTCTCTTCGACAATAGCACAGTGCGTAATTTTATTGTTTCCCATAAATTTCCCAAAAATAAGTTGCAGAGCTTGGGCAAGATTTTTTCACTGCTCGATCGAGCTCTTCCCATAGCAGTTCGATGGGATTTAAATCAGGCGACTGGGCAAGCCATTGCATAACTTTGAATTTTTTTTCTTTTCTAAATTTGAGAGATAATTTTTACATAATTTGGATGTATATTTTGGATCGTTATCTTGCTGAAACACAAATTGTGCTTCCACTAGTCGAATTCCTGATGTTACAGCGTGCCTTTGTAGAATGTTTTTGTAACTTTCTTGCTTTAAGATTCCATCAATTTTCAGAATATCACCTACTTTTGATCCAGCAAAACAACCCCATACCATAACTAAACCACCACCATGCTTCACACTTGGAACTAAACAATCACTATTATATTTCTCACTAACCCGTCTTCTTACATACACTCTCCTTCTACTTCCAAAAATTTCAAATTTTGACTCGTCAGACCACAGAACATTTTTCCAATCAGAAATAGTCCCATTTTTATGACATTTTGCCCACTGTAAGCGTTACTTTTTATTTACACATCGTAGAAGTGGCTTCTTAACGGTAACTCGACCAAAAAGTCCTTTCTCTCGCAAACTTCTCTTTATCGTATTCACACTCACAGGTTTTTCGAAATGTTTGTTGACATCTGCGGTAAGTTCAGAGGCAGTGCCTTTTCGATTACGCAAACTTGTTCGACAAATGTAGTCATCTTCTTTGGCAGTAGTTTTTCTTCTTGGTTTGTGTTGCCTATTTTCGACACTTCTAGATGTACAGAACTTTTTAATATTATAAGCCACTATGCGCCTGTCTATTTTCAACTGCTTTGAAGTAGCGTGACTACTCATTTGCAGTTCATGAAGGGCAATGATCTTATTACGTTCACGCACGGACAAATTTTTCGATTTTGCCATGTTTACTATACATTACACAAACAGTTGTTCACACTTGAAACGCTCGCGATCGACTAGTTTGCTCATAATCGTAGACACAGAAATATTTAAGAAGATACCACATTTCATATGGTGAGCGTTCGTTGCAACGGTAGTCGAGTCAATTAATCGAACCGTTCGCGATTCTGATTTTCGCGCGTTAGTTCTAAGTATTGAGAGAGAGAGGGGGCGCGCGATCTTTTAAATTAGCAGTTAAGTCTCAGCTGTTACTTGTGTAGTACCGCCAAAATAGTTT